GATTTCAGGGTCAGATTTCTAGAATTATATGAATGGAATCATATATTATGTACTCTCTTGAGTCTTGTTTCTCTTATGCAGCATAATATCTGTGATATTCATGTTGTATTTCCTTCATATTTCTTATCAAAGAGTGCTCTACTGTATGAATGTACCCCAATTTGTTGATCAGTTCACCTATCGTTGGCCTCTGTAGAAGTCGTGAACTACTGTATCACAACTAGAAGTAGAAGAAACTTGTTTAAAAAAACAACCAAATTTTCAGAACCTCTGAATCTTTTCAGAAGGCGGATTTCTAGAACAGGAAATATTTGCAGAAGGCAGATTTCTAGAATGGGAAGCTACAAAATCAAACTTTTCACAGGCTCTTGATACATACTGTTAAATGGGGTCCCAGATGGTCTTCTCCAGGATATAGCCCTACCCATGGTGTACGAAAGTCCTTGTCTCACAATACCATCAATGGCATTTTTGACAAAGATTCTTTGACAAGAAATTGTTCTTTTTAATCTTTTCAAGTGTGCAAAGCTTGAATTTATTATCTAATAGTTGAAAGTAATTGTATGCTGACTATAAACCAGTAGGTGCCATACTTCTTTCCTTCCTGACTTCACAGAACAGTCTGTGATCTCACCTCTTTAACTGCCTGCCTCATTGACTTTCTGAGAAACTAATCTGAAAAGCTAATTCAGAGTCCTTCCTGGCATTGGTCTGCTAGATGGTGCTGGGGACAGGGCAGGAGCTCCGATGTCTTCCTGCTGCAGCTTCCAGTGGTGGCTCAGGAGCTACACGGTCCGACACAGTAGCCACTGGCCACAGGTGGCTTTTGAGCCCTTGATGTGTGGTTAGTCCAAACTGAGATGTGCTGTTAAGTGTAAAATGCACACCGGATTTCAGAGCCTTAGTATGAAAAAAATGAATATAAGATGTTTCACTTAGTTCTATACTCTTTACATATTGAAGTAAGATATTTAATTTATGGGTTAAATGAAACATGAAAAAAATTTTCATTTATTTTTACTTTTACTAATGTGGCTACTAGGAAATCTTGGATTACACGCATAACTTGCATTTTCTTTTCTTTTTTTTTTTTTAGATTTTATTTATTTATTTGAGAGAGAGCAAGAATGAGCAGGGAGAGGAGCAAAGGGAGGGCGAGAGAGAAGCAGACTCTCCACTGAGCAGGGAGCCTGATGTGGGGCTCAATCCCAGGACCCTGGGATCATGACCTGAGCTAAAGGCAGATGCTTAACGACTGAGCCACCCAGGTGCTCCCTGCATTTTATTTCTATTCAACAATGTGTTCTATAGTCTTACAGAGACTCTCTCTCTCCTGTCTCTACTTCTTTTTTCTTTAGAATGCCTGCCCTCTGGCTTTGTTTTCTTCAGAGAAGCTTCCCTGAGCCTTTTTTGGAGGCTCTGCAGACTTTATATTTAGTTCAGAGGATCGAATTGCAAGATGGAATCTGGGCACAGATCTCCATAAGGAGCCTAAGGTGGTGGATTGAGCCTGAGATTTGTTACCTGGGAACTAAACTTCTCTGAGGGCAGATCAGAAAGCCGGGAAGAAGAGGAGGGGTTGGGGGTACCATCTGACCCCTCAGCTCCCAACGGTCTCCCTGACCTGAACACCAGTAAGCTGTACCCTTACTTGCCTTTGTCTCAAGAGAAGGCTTTAGGTGGTAGACCAGTCCTCCCCTGACCTTTTCTGCTTCATTTCTCTGCTTTATCATCTTCTTTCAATCTGTGATGGGTCTTGTTTTCTGGCCATCTTCATTGGCTTAATGGGTTTTTTTTTGGCTGTTTCCTGGCCCTTCCTCACCAGGATCCCCACCTTCAGTCCTCTCCACTCTACACCACTGCCTTGTGAGAGCCCCGTCACTGGAGCAGGTCCAGCTCACCAAACCTGATTTTGGCCCAGCGTTGGCCTTCTGTTTGCCTGGACATGACAACTTGACCGTCTTCACTAGCTAGACCTACCTTTTATCAGGTGAAGACTGTAATGGAGCCCCTGTCAGGGCCAGGAAATCCCTGGCTCTGTTTGGTATTATGGTAACCAGATGTCCATGAAGTGAATTTCTCTACGGTGCCCCAGGATGTAGATTTGATCTACCCTAGGATTCTATTTACTGGGCCAGGTTCAGCTTTCTGTTTCCTCTTCCATCATCCATACCTTAAGTTCCTGCGGAATTGAGTGAATTCTGCAAGTCTGATTAAATCTCAAACTGGGACTTTGGAAACTATAGAGCAACAGCCTCCTTGCCAGTAGGCTGGCGTGCGATTTGTTGCTCTGCTTAGGTAGCTGTAAATCGGGAGACGGAAGTTTCTGCCTTGGATGACAAGAGCTGGAGATGTCTGCGAGGTTACCATGGGCAGGCAGAGGGCGAAATCACTGATTTTTGTGGGAGTCACAGGCTCGGAAGAGATGAGCTGTGAGTAAAACAGGATGGACGTGGATTAGGTTTGAACAGATGAAACAAAACCCCCATTCCAAGCTTTCTTCCTGCTCAGCAGCCGTGCCTGCAAGACACGGACTCGTGAAGTAGGCGGGCAGTTCCCTTTCTAGTTCTTGCAGATGAAGGATCAATGCAAAGAAAGTCTCGGTTTTGTGCTACTATGTCTTTAACACCCTCAGATGCTTCTGTGAACAAACAGGCCTCAGACCTTGGATCTTCCCAGGCAGTGCTGTTGAGGTGGGATACAATAGCAGGGTTTTATTTCCAGTGAATTTACTTTGGTGTTGCTTTCTATTTATTAAAAATGATGGGCAAAATAATATTTCCTTAAAAATTAATCTGAGTTTTAAAAATAGTCCATTTATGGGGACTAAGGGGGTACAGTTGCTGTGATGGGCATGGGTAACATACAGAATTGCTGAACCACTGCAGTGTCTCCTTGAAACGAATATAACCTTGTGTGTTAACTATACTGCAACTGAAACAAATGAAAAAACAAAAATAAATAAAACAGTCCACCTAAAGCACAAAGTAAAGCAAATAAAGTACAGGTAGGACTCAATTATGGCCAAAAAATATATGTGAACATGTTGCCCAAGTGACATTTAGAAAACATTGTCCTAAAGGAGGAAGGTACAGAGAAGACCAACATCCTAGAGTTCTGGATTTAAAACTATCCCATCATCAATTTCTTTTATTCATTTACTATAAATTACAGTAGTATTTTCAGAGAAAACTCTTTTTTTTTTTTCCGATTTTGCAGATTCCAGAAAGAAATTGGAAATTGAAGATTTCAGAAGAGGAAGTTGTTTTAAAATATTTTTATTTACTTCAAAGAATAATGCTGAAAAGTTAAAAGTATCATTAACCTTAATTTAAATTTAATATTATCCACTGGTAGCCCTTCAGGGAACCAGTTTTCTAAAGCGTTGGATTCTAAAATAGGTCATATAATTGACCCCAGTGGAAAAGGCTGAATTAACATCTAAGAGGCAAACATGCGTCTAGTAATAGTAACTAAGCAGTCATTTCCATCCCTGAAAGTTCTTCCCGGTAAGGATGTCTTGCCTTCTTCTTGCTTAGAATGTTAAATTGTATTGTCTCTTGCTCGGTCATTCAGGTTATAAAAGGAAAGTAATTGTGTGGGGTCCCACTGAGAAATTTCTGTAAGACTTGCAATGTTTAGCAATGGATAGATTTAAAAAGGGAAAAATGGATGTGTGCAAAAGACCAGGAGACTCATGTGTGACTTGGGAAAATTCCAGAACCTGTGGACTTGACTATTAACAGATGTGGGCTTTTAAGAGCTCATGACAGTAAGGACACTGACAGGGTTTAGAAGTCTATCATTTTGGGGGCAGTGGGGCTCAACAAAAAAGTTTAAAAACTATCTCTCTGGGGTGTGTGAATTTTCCTACCAAAATGAGGGACAAAGTGGCCAGTTCAAGGCCTTTCTACTTCCAAGATAATGACCCATTTAATATACAGAAGGATGAGTGGAGAAGTTGCTGAAGGATCTTAATGGTACAAGAAAGGACATCAGTGCGATTTGGGGGTAGTGCAGATGAACTCAAGTTAGTTCTTAATACCCAAATAAAATGGCTTGGGTCCCCGTTTCTACCTAGACAGGAAGTTCAGCAGGTACATGAGGTTTTCAAGGATTTCCAGGAAGATGGCTTTTCCTCATCATGGGCCACTTGGAAGTCCACATCCTCTTCCCTCCTGCCCTCCCTCTGTCCTGCTTCATTCCACACGTGGCATTGTTCCTCCTAAATTCCCCAGGGTCTAAGTATATGGCAGACTTTGCTGGAGGTGTGAGGATAGCTGTGAGGGGCATAGGACAGCTACAGCACAACCCGGAACGGGCAAGAGTGACAGAAACGTCCCTGTTCCCAGGTTCCTGGGCTCTGGCTACCACAGGAGACTTCTTGCTGAACTGTCTCCCTCCTCAGGCCATTTTGGGCTCAGACCCTCTCTCCCACCAAGTCTCAATTCCCCCACAACCAACCGTGGTTTCTCTGCTCCCAATTTTGGATGTGCCCAGTTTCTTCTTATGGAAGATAATATACCTTTATCTCTATCCCAGGCTGGGATTAAGATACACTTTTATTTTTTATTATTTAAAAGATAATAAGTTTTGCTGTATGAAAGGGTTGTCTACCTCTGGCCACCCTCCACCGTCCCTAGGCATGTAACCCACAAGCAGAAACAATTCAGTTATGATTTTTTCTTTACTATGTCTCAGATCACCACCTTTTTTTATATTTTTTAAATTTTTTGTTTTAGAATGAACAAGGTGCACATGGGTGGAGGGGGAGAGGGAGAGAGAGACTCTCAAGCCAACTCCATTGTAAGTGCAGAGCCCGAAGTGGGGCTCGATATCACGATGGTGAGATCATGACCTGAGCTAAAGTCAAGAGTCTCATGCTTAACTGACTGAGTGATGACTCCTCCTGCTTGAAGTACATAAATTCCAGGACCAAAGGGGTTGGGAGAGCTTTCCCATGGCGTTTGCTTCCTTGGTGATTTTGTTTGTCTCTTCAGGGGCAGCATGAGAGTGAGGTGGGCGTCCTGGCTCCTGATTGGCCTCTGCCAGGAAGACATCTGTAGCCAAAGATGAGTTTGGGCAAAGTAGTCGCTTGTTCCTTTAGCCATGGAAAAGCAGAGCCACAGTGAGGCGGGAGTAATCTCATCTGAGTCTCACTCCCATGTTAAATTGTTGAAAATCCATCGGGAACTTCTGGTCACCCACATCCGCAACACCCAGTGTCTGGTGGACAACTTGCTGAAGAATGACTACTTCTCTTCTGAAGATGCGGAGATCGTGGGTGCCTGCCCCACACAGCCCGACAAGGTGCCGATGACAGGGGCTGGCCTTGGCGGGCTGTGTGTCTTGGTTGCTGGAAGGGGTTTCTCCCGGGGACCCTGAGTGAGGACCTCTGGGCATTGAACACATTGGCGGGATTTCCCATTGGGGTCATTTATAGGACAGACACCTGAGTCATCAGCTTATGACACAATTGCATATTCTACTTCTGTGTTCGCGTGGAAAGCAGACTCCGCTTACCTCGCTGCTCTCCTTGCTAGGTATATCGCTTCCCAAGCCACTTGTTTTCAGTCACTTTTGATTGGGAGGAGGGAAAAATTAAATGACCTTCGAACACTAGCAGTGATGTTCATTCAGTGCCTTTAAACTCCAGGGAGCTGCTCCAGGCTGGGTGAGACTCTGAGAACAGTTTGCCTCTGGCTTGGGAGCGAACACCTCCCAGGCTGGGTCCACAGTAAAGACTTTTGCACCCGCCACTGTGGGACTCCCTAACAGCCCTTAGTTTCCTTTTAGCATTGTGTTCTCTCCTGAAAAATAGAATTGGCAAGACCCAAACCTCTTTGGCTGGAGGAGTGACAGAACTTGTCTGTAATGTGATCCTGCCAGCCTCTGGGAAACTAGAGGGTTTCTGGGGTGTGGGGGGAGCACAGTAGCTGATTTGTATGATTATTTTCCCCTGCATTTTTAATAATACAAAAGGGCCTTTTTAGGGTTAACTTACATCATGGAGGCCTGTTAGTCCCTTGCTATGTGGCCCAGCATGCTCCCTCACCTCATTTCACCTGTGTAGTAACTGTCTCAGCAGCACTCATTCTTGGCCAGTAGCAGTGTTGGCTCAAGAGGGACAGGAGACCGGAGAATTCCAGGGATGGACTCAGCTCTCATTTGTGAGTCTGACCTTATTACTTGGAGGTTCATGGAAGCCTCCAGCTTCTTAAGAGCTGTGTGGCTTAATTTCCTACTATGGGGGAGTCCCCTTCACAGATTCTAGGCCTTCAATAGGTAGCATCTCACACCTCTGGGGGGATGGTCAAGCTTGAGGCTGTTGTAGGAACTTGGAGCCCTGCATGTGAGCCTTTCTGGTAGGGGGACTCCCCAGGCACTTGCTCACCCCCTCATGCTTATGTCACCACTAGGTCCGCAAAATTCTGGACCTGGCACAGAGCAAGGGCGAGGAGGTGTCTGAGTTCCTCCTCTACGTGCTCCAGCAACTCACAGATGCTTACGTGGATCTCAGGCCTTGGCTGTCGGAGACTGGCTTTTCCCCCTCAGAGCTCATTCAGAGCAAAGTTGTCGTCAACACCGACCCAGGTATGATTCCGCTCCCCCAGGGTAGGACTGCAGACACCAGGCCGGCAAAGCCCTGGGGTTTGGAAATGCCGTGGTGTGTGGGCTCAGCGGGGCATGAAGGCATGGTCCACCATAGTTGGCTCTGCCCCTCACGTCGGGCAGTGGGCCCAGGTGCTATGTTCCCCATCATCCAAGTGCTGCTGGGGGCTGTGCTGAACTGACCCCAAGTAGTTAGTCTGACTTAGAGGCCTGTGGAAGTGTGGGAATGGCCTTTCTTCTGACTTTCTGCTTGCTTCCCTTTTGGACACATAGACTTAAAAAAAATATATATTTAATTTATTTGACACAGAGAGATCACAAGGAGGCAGAGAGGCAGGCAGAGAGAGAGGAGGAAGCAGGCTCCCTGCTGTGCACAGAGCCCGATGCGGGACTCGATCCCAGGACCCTGAGATCATGACCTGAGCTGAAGGCAGAGGCTTTAACCCACTGAGCCACCCAGGCGCCCACATAGACATTTTAATGGTGGCACGAATTCCTTTTAAAAATCTTTCCAGGGGCACCTGGGTGGCTCAGTGGGTTAAAGCCTCTGCCTTCAGCTCAGGTCATGATCTCAGGGTCCTGGGATTGAACCCCACATCGGGCTCTCTGCTCAGCGGGGAGCCTGCTTCCTCTCCCCCCTGTCTGCCTCTTTGCCTACATGTGATCTCTGTCTGTCAAATAAATAAATAAAATCTTTAAAAAAAAAAAATCTTTCCAAAATTTATCCTAGGCAAGGTATTCTTCTCTCACCCCTAGTGGCCAGTCCAAGAGCCAGTGAAAACCCAATATGAAGCCAGTCCCAAAACCAGTAGCCGGAAGTGGCCATTTCCAAAGCACAGTGGGATTGCATCAGCTAATTGATTCGTTCAACAAGTATTGATCATATCCCCACCATGTGCCAAGACACTGTGCTGGATGCCAGGGGTATGATGGGGAGCAGACAAGATATGGTTCCAGCTCTCAGGGAGCTTGGAGGCTGGTGCGGGAGGCCCAGCTGTAGGTGGTCACACAAATGTGTGATTGCATATGGTGACAAGGACGAGAGCAGTTCAGGCTGCTGTGAGCGCATGTAATTGGGGCCATGATCTGGTCTGGGGACTGGGGAGCCTTCTTTGCATGTCTCTGTGCTCACTAGTTTGAGACATTTGTTGGCTGTATAATACCCAGCACCAAGGACCCCAACTCCAGTGTTTAAAGAATCCAGTGTGACCTTGAACACAGAAACAGAGGACAGTGTCCCAGACTATCAGGGGCATGTTTGGGGGAAACCAGGCCAACCAGCAGGGTCAGAGCCCAGCCCTTCTGTGGCTGGGCTGTGGATACTTGTGATACCTGTGGCCGCTGTTAGCTTCTTACTCTTCTTGCCCCTTCCCACTTCCTTCTGCTTCCTTCCCCAGGAGCAAAGGAAAATGCTTCTGCCTGTGATCATTCTTTCAAAAGACATCTCCACTGGTTCCTTTAGCCAACTACTTCGGTAGCTTTTAAAGTATAAGTCACTCTACAGAGCTAGATGTGAACTACATCTTTTGTGATTCTATTTATACAAAACAGCCAGAAAGGCAAATTAATAGAGCTAGAAAGCAGATTGGCCATTGCCTAGGGCCAGGGGCAGAGATTCGCTAGAAGTGGGCTTAGGATGGAGAGGTTTTAGAACTGGAGCGTAGTGACATTTGCATAACTTTGTAAATTTACTAAAAACTATTGAGTAGTACACAATGCCTATTGTAAAATATGTGAATTTATGGTATGTAAATTATGTCTTACTAAAGATGTAAAAGATAAAATTCACAAATTTTAAGCAGACCACCAAGTTGGACTGAGTTGGTGGGAAGAGGTTATAGATGAATTTGGAAATGGGCATGTGTGTCTCGTTTTCGTTAACTGGATTATAATCAAAATCCCAGAAGTATTTTAAAGGAATTCATGGAACAGCCTTTGGTCTGGGGAAGGATCACCTCCATCTGGTATAAGCCCAGTCTCTAGCTCAGGTTTGCCGAGCTCCCTGCCCATGTGAGCATGTTACCTGTCTGCTCCCCTGTGAGCAGGTGCTAAGTCAGTGACCCCCAGGTGTCAGCTGGGGACCTGGGGCTGGTGTGCTCTGCGTCGTTGAACAGGGTAGTTTTTCTCTTAGTTTACTCTCTTTGTGCTTTGGCCCGTCTCATTTGTAATCCAGATTGACGTGGACTGTTGAGTCTTCTCACTCAAAGTTTGGGCATTTAGTGTTGAGACTTCCCTTGCTTTCAGAGCAGTGTGATCAGCAAAAGAAAGTGAGAGCAATTTCTTCCTCAGCCACAGGAGTTTCCAGCGCCTGGCCGCCTCAGTCTCGGGAGCCTGCGGCTCTTGATCTGGGGGTGGTGAGTTTCAGCTCCGTGCTGGGTGTACAAATAACCTTAAATGAATACATATGCTTTTAAAAGAAAAGTCTCACTGGGAGCTGACTGTCTTCCCTCCCACACCATCCAGTGAGCAGGTACACGGAGAAGCTGCGACAGCAACTGGCCCGTGATTCCAAGTTCGTCCTGTGCTATGCCCAGAAGGAGGAGCTGCTGCTGGAGGAGACGTACAGCGACACCATCGTGGAGCTGGTGGGCTTCAGCAACGAGATCCTGGGCCCGCTGGAGAGCCTGAGCTGCCTCCTGGACCACCGCACCGGGGTCCTCAGCGAGCAGGGCGAGACCATCTTCATCTGCGGGGACGCGGGCGTGGGCAAGTCCATGCTGCTGCAGCGGCTGCAGAGCCTGTGGACCTCGGGGCGGCTGGACACCGAGTTCAAGTTCTTCTTCCACTTCCGCTGCCGCATGTTCAGCTGCTTCAAGGAGGGCGACACACTGTGCCTGCGGGACCTGCTCTTCAAGCATTACTGCTACCCGGAGCAGGACCCCGAGGAGGTGTTCGCTTTCCTGCTGCGTTTCCCCCAGACGGCCCTCTTCACCTTCGACGGCCTGGACGAGCTGCACTCAGACTTCGACCTGAGCAGCGCACTGGACACCTGCTCCCCCTGGGAGCCCGCCCACCCCCTGGTCCTGCTGACCAACCTGCTCAGTGGGAAGCTGCTCAAGGGGGCCGGCAAGCTGCTCACGGCCCGCACGGGCGTGGAGATCCCGCGCCAGCTCCTCCGCAAGAAGGTGTTCCTGCGGGGCTTCTCCCCTAGCCACCTGCGCGCCTACACCAAGAGGATGTTTCCCGAGCGCGCCATGCAGGAGCGCCTGCTGGCCCAGCTGGAGGCCAACCCCAACCTCTGCAGCCTGTGTGCCGTGCCCCTTTTCTGCTGGATCATCTTCCGCTGTTTCCAGCATTTCCACAGCGTTTGGGAGGGCTCTGCGCAGCTGCCCGACTGCACGGTGACCCTGACCGATGTTTTCCTGCTGGTCACCGAGGTGCACCTGAACAGGACACAGCCCACCAGCCTGGTGCAGCGGAACACGAGAGGCCAGACTGAGACATTCCACGCCGGACGGGGCACCTTGCACTCGCTCGGGCAGGTGGCCCATGGCGGCATGGAGAAGAGCCTCTTTGTGTTCCGCCAGGAGGAGGTGCAGGCAGCCGGGATGCAGGAGGGGGAGCTGCAGCTGGGCTTCCTGCGGGCCGTGCCTGAGCAGGGCCTGGGCGGGGACCAGCAGTCCTACGAGTTTTTCCACATCACCCTCCAGGCCTTCTTTACTGCCTTCTTTCTCGTGGTGGACGACAAGGTGGGCACTGGGCAGCTGCTCAGGTTCTTCCAGGAGTGGGCTCCTGCTGGGGGGGCGGGAGCCGAATCCTGCTATCCCCCCTGTCTCCCCTTCCCGTGCCTGAAGGGTGGTGGCCTGGCAGGGGAGGACCCCTTCAAGAACAAGGATCACTTTCAGTTCACTAACCTCTTCCTGTGCGGGCTGTTGTCTAAGGCCAAACAGAAACTCCTTCGGCACCTGGTCCCCGCTGCTGCCTTGCGGAGAAAGCGCAAGGCCCTGTGGGCACACCTGTTTGCCAGCCTGCGGGCTCACCTGCAGAACCTGCCCCGCGTGAAGTCTGGGGCCTTCAACCAGGTGCAGGCCATGCCCACCTTTGTCTGGATGCTGCGTTGCATCTACGAGACTCAGAGCGAGAAGGTGGGGCAACTGGCAGCCAAGGGCATCTGCGCCAACTACCTCAAGCTGACCTTCTGCAACGTGTGCTCGGCGGACTGCAGTGCCCTCTCCTTCGTCCTGCACCATCTCCGCAAGCGGCTTGCGCTTGACCTGGACAACAACAATCTTAACGACTACGGTGTGCGGGAGCTGCAGCCTTGTTTCAGCCGCCTCACTGTCATCAGGTGAGGACGAGGGGGCCCAGGGAGCAGCTGGTGGGGCCTGGGCAGGCCAGACTCCGGAGACGCCAGAACCAGTCTTTAAGGGGTAGGAGCTCCTGACTTACCCTGGCACTCATGATCATGGGTCTTGGAACACCCAGACCTCTTCTGTTTCAGTGTGACAGAGGGCAAAAAGCACAACTTCCGTGGCAGGTGCCCCATCTTGGTGTCTTTGAGTGAGTTGCTTAACTTCTCTGATTTCCTCATCTGGAAAAGGGAGATGCTGGTAGCCTAGCAGTTATAGTGATAACAACCAGCATTTATTGAGAATGGGTGAAGTGCATTACAAATTTTACACGATTGACTCTTCCATACTATAAGGTGGGAGGTACTCTTCATTCTGGCAAATGAGGAAGTGGAGGTACAGAGGTGGTCTCAAGGTCACACATCAGGGCCACGATGGAGCCAGATTCATAAAGATTTATGAGATTTATTGAGATTCATGAGAGGCTCAGAGATAGCCCGTGGATGGTTTTTGACACATGGGAGCTTTTGTGATTGCAGAAAAAGCAGACTCTGCTTATCAGCCTCGGTTACTTTCCATGATCAAATCCAGCAGCTTGCCAGGGATCTTAGCACAGAAAGCTGACTCATGAGTGGTTTCCTGTGTGATGGTTTAGAGGAAAGTTAGGCCAGTCTGCTTTCTTCTGTTAGCATTTCTTCTATAAAATACACCTTGTAAATCTCTATGAGGGTTTCAGATCTTGTAACTTGGTTCATGCATTCCTGAGGAGCGGAAGGGATTTGGAACTCGTCCTGGGTACCTGTTACACCAGTGCCACAGTGGACATTATGTGGGGACAGTGGGGTGCAGGGAACCCGAGGCTGCCCTGGCCTGTTCTCTGTGCTCTCAGCCTGGCGCATGCTCACACTCCAGGCACTCCCCCTCCCCCCCGCCCCAAGATGGGACACACCAGAATGGTACTTCTGCCCCAGACAGCTGTCCTGGGGTGAAGTTTTCCTCCACACCAGTAAAGGAGAGAGCAGGAGGAAATGGGCAACTCCAGGGAAGCATTTTGAGCTCCCCGAGACCATAAGTGAGGGTTAACTTTGAGAGTTAACAAATGCTTAGATAGGTTACAAGCTTGTTTCTCATGGAAAAGTCCAGAGGAGGGCAGTTCAGGGCTGCTGTGTTGTCTCCACAACCCTCAGGAGCCCAGGCTCTCTTCTGTGTTGCTGCGGCCCTGATGCCCTCACTACTTGATTTCCACCTCTTGGCCCAAGATGGCTGCTCATTTCCGGCTGTTCAGTCAACATTCTAGACACCAGGAAGAAGAAAGGGCAAAGAAGGATGCACCTCGTTCTTTTAAGAAGACCTCTCAACAATTGCTAATGAGACTTCTGCTTAGATTTCATGGGGTAGAACTTAATCCCACATGCCCAGTTAAAGAAATGGGGGATTCTATTGTTAAAAAAGCATAGATATTGGAAGTGACTAGTAGCCTCTGGCACCCTGAGATGGCCATGCAGTGTGTGTATGTCCTGTACCCCACCACCAAAGTGGGCACCATGGGAGGAGGGGTCCTGAGAATGTGACCTGACCATTTTGATGTGGCCTGAAAATCAAACTTTTACTTGTTCAGCCTTTCACTTATTACAGAGAGGTCAGGTTGTGGGCCCAGTTTGGCCCAGGGCTTGTGTTTGTAAATAAAGTCTTATTGGAACACAGCCACACCCATTTGTTTACATATTGGCTGCTTCACACTGCAGAGTGGAGTAGTTGCAACAGAAACCACACAGCCCGCAGACCTTAAAATATTTGCACTCTGGCCCTTTAGAGAGAAAGTTTGCTGACCCTTGGATTATCCTCTCCCCCACCCCTGATACCTCACTGTCATCCAGCCCTAAGCCTTACTCTGTCCTGAGTCCTGGTGGGGTGGAAGATTGAAAAAATCACGACAGTTTGTTACATAGATCATTTGGTAGTTAAAAAAAATTGGAATTTCACATTTTAGCCACATCGAAATATCCTGTTGGTATAGGGATGTGCAGAACAATTCCAGTGAGTGGCTGTTCCTTGCACAGGAGACAGCTGTCATCCTGAAGGCTCTCTTTTCCTGGTCCCCTCTGTGAATGGGCCTTCGGGATGGGGAGGCTGTCGGCATAGTGGGTGAGACCTTTCTGTGTTCCACCTTTTGAAGGGCACTGACTATCTCTGGCCACACCTGCAAGATGGGGGATGTGTTCCCTCATCTCTAGAACAGCTCCATGGGGTTCCAAATGCCATGGCCCCTGCTGTGCAGTGATAACCACAAAGAGGGCCTGGCTGACACAGAGGCCACCCACAAATGATGGGTGTTAGAGCTGGCTGGCCTCACGCATCCTTTATGTGTCCCTCGTAGCCCTTCTGTTGGGTCGGGGCTGTGCTGTAGCCTTGATGACCGGAGGGTTCTGGGCGGGTTTATCGGCCTTACCACGGTGCAGCTTTTTAGGAGCCATTTGGCTGAGGGCTCTGGCCACCCTCTAGGGGTGCTTATAGCTGGGAAAACTCCGGGACCTACAGGCTTCCACATCCTTGTGACATTTATGCTGCTACTTAGTGAGCAGCTGCCGTGATTTCTAACTTTCTTTGCTGTTTCTTTCTTTCTTTTTTTTTCCCCCAGACTCAGTGTAAACCAGATCACAGACAGTGGGGTGAAGGTGTTGTATGAAGAGCTAACCAAATACAAAATCCTGACCTTCTTAGGGTACGTATTCCTGGACAGTGCCAGGCCAGGGATGTAGCAGTAATACAGAGGAGCGGGGAACAGCCACTTGTGGACGGTTGGGATGATGGCTGAGGCATCAGGAAGCTCCCGGATGGGGAGCCGGGAGTCCCGGGTCCTGCTCTGGGCTCAGCTGGCAGCCCACTCTTTGAGCAAGTCAGGAAATAGGGCAGAACTACAACCTTTTCACTTGTGTATTGGGATCCTAATATAGGCAAGTGCTTTATGAGTGGTGATTGGGTGTTGCTGAGAGAATAGCTGGGGATATGGTGGTGGTGTTTGTTTTAAGGTTTATTTATTTTAGACAGAGAGTGAGCTGAGTAGAGGGAGGGGCAGAGGGAAGGAGAGACTCTTGAGCAGACTCCCTGCGGAGCATAGAGCTGGACATCTGGGGCTTGATCCCGGGACCCTGAGATCATGAGCTGAGCCGAAATCAGGAGTCCGATGCTTAACCAAAAGGCCACCCAGGCGCCCCTGGGGATAGGTTTTATAAATGTTAGGTACAGGTTATGCATTAGATTATGGGCCCATGATCCCTCACCCAGAACCTGGAGGGCAAGACCATCAGAGTTCAGTGTCATGCTGTGGGGTTGTGATATGACCGGTGAGGTCAAGGGCACTATCCTGGTTTCAAATACTTTAATATTTCTGCAGCAAAAGTTCTGAGTATTCAAAGCAGCTAGGATAAAGACCACAAATGGTGCCACATCAGTGGCCAGAATGGTTGTGAAAAGCTTGGGGTTTTCAGAGCCTCTGGGATTTGGAGTGGAAGTGCTGGTGGGCCAGTCCAGCCGGCCTCTGGCCGGTCCTGGCAGAGATGCAGCCTGTTGTCTGCCCCACAGGGCTCCCCTTCCTCCTTGGTGGAGTGGGGGCCCCGGAAGCACATACTCCCAGGCTGCCTTTCGGCTCAGGAGCTTTGTGGGGCTGTGGAACGCTGGAAACTCAGTAGGGAAGCAGACTCCCTGCTTAGCAGGGAGCCCAATGTGAGTTTTGATTCCAGAACCCAGTGATCATGATCTGAGCCGAACTTTCAGCTTCTCTCTGCCTTCTTGTTCATTGTCGGGCGGCAAAATGACTAAGAGGGAGCAGTGAGGTTCCAACATTCAAACGTCTTCCCCTCACGATGCTGCTTGTCATCTCGATGGAACAACATCCACCACCTGCCGCGGGTTGCACCCTTGGACATGTGGGCTTGGAGGGATCGCAAGCTGTGGTCCTAAGGCCCCTGTGAGGGAGGCGTGAGTCCTGCTCCTTATTACAGATGCAGGAGCAGAGTCTGGGCCATGGCAGAGCTGGTCTGAACCCCGCCTGCGAGACCCCAGGGCCCCGAACTGCTCTCTGGGTGTCCCTCCGTTCTCCTTCCAGCCCAGACCAGAAATCAGCAGCCAGCACGTACCCACTTTAGAAATGGGCTCATTACGATGACACTGACACACAGGAATAAAAGGCACAGTATAAAGAATATAGTCAGTGATTTTTTTTGTTTTAGTTTTTATTTCAATGAAAATATTTTAAAACTTGAATTCAGTTAATTAACATATATTATTGGTTTTAGAGGTAGAGGTCAATGATTCATCAATCTTACGTAACACCCAGTGCTCGTTACAGAATGTGTTCTCCTTAATGCCCATCACCCAGTTACCCCATCCCCCCACCTCCCTCCACCCCAACAGCCCTCAGTTTATTTCCTCCACCCCAGCAGCAGGATTTCATTTCTTTTGATGGCTGCATAGTATTCCATTGTATATATATACCACTTCTTCTTTATCCATTCATCTGTCGATGGACATCTAGGTTATTTCCATAGTTTGGCTATTGTGGACATTGCTGCTATAAACATTGGGGTGCATGTGCCCCTTCATATCAGTACGTTTGTACCTTTGGGGTAAATACCCAGTAGTGCGATTGCTGGGTTGTAGGATAGCTCCATTTTCAAGTTTTTGAGGAACCTCCATACTGGTTTCCAGAGTGGCTGCCCCAGCTTGCATTCCCACCAACAGTATAGGAGGGTTCCCCCAGTCAGTGACATTGAGAGAGCATCGTCTGGTGACAGATGGTGGCTACACTTGTGGTAAACGTAGCATAACTTATTAACTTGTGGATTCACTATGTTGTACACCTGAAATTAATGTAATGCTGTGTCAACTATACTAAAAAAAAAAAAAAAAGCCAAGATTGGGGTCCCGAAGTCTCATGCAGTGCTTTCTCTCGAAGCCTGTACAACAACCAGATCACTGATGTGGGAGCCAGGTACATCGCCAGGATCCTGGACGAGTGCAAAGGCCTCACGCACCTCAAGTAAGTGGGGTGTGCCGCAGATTATTCAGTAGCCTGTGTGTCACCCCTTCCTTATCCAAACAAAGTGCACATGTCCCCATAAAGAGCGCTCGCCCTAACGCTTGCCCAGAGCCACACCGGTCAGATGAAGAGGCCGGCGTGTGGAAGGTCAGCTGCACGCATGGAGGAATCCTGGCCTGACAGGGAGGCTCGGGTTTCCAGAGGGCCAGGTGAGGGTCTGGCTTCTGGTTCACGGACGGGGCCTTTCGGCTGTGTCCTCACACGGTGGAAAGGGAGGCAGGGGAGCTCTGTGGGGCCTCTTATAAATCCCTCATCCCATTCACGACAGCTTTGTCCTCGTGACCTCATCGCCTCCAAGAGCCCTGCCTCCTATTACCATCTCCTGAGGGCTTAGAGTTTCAGCGTATGGATTTTGGGGGGACACAAACATTCAGATATGGCACCCATCTAGTTGCCAGTATGAGCTTGGTCCTTGGCCCTGTCACACACATGCTCTGCCAGAGGTGACCAGGCACTGGGCTCAGAGGAGCCCCTGGTGGTCCCCTGGTGAGGGGGACGCACACTTGGCCACTTGCAGCGGAGATGGGACCCTCCCCGCTCTGCTGATGGAAATGAGTGACACTCTGAAGGCCGTTTAAAGAACCACCCCAGGAAAGCTAGGGCCCCTAAGTTTCAGCAGAGACAGTGACCACCTTCTGGAGAGGAGTCCAATGGCTCTCTCTAGGGCAGTGGGTCACTCCTCGAGAGGAAGCCGGGAGCATGGGCACTGTGGGTCCAAGGAGAATGGGGGCAGAAGGGGCCCTGTGTGGGAGACAAGGGTGCTGACGGTGGAGTCCCCCCTCTACTGGGCGCTGACCCGTGCATGGCTCTCTCTGCAGACTGGGGGAGAACAAAATAACGAGTGAAGGAGGAAAGTGCCTGGCTGTGGCTGTGAAGAACAGCAAATCAATCCTCGAAATTGGGTGAGTGGAGGCAAACGCGTGTGTGTGTGTGTGTGTGTGTTACACATGCTGTTGTGTGTATGAGCATGCCAGCTGCTGTTCAGGGACATAAATATACCAAAAGTCCAAGGATGGACTGCATCTTCCCTTGCACATACTTTTATTACATTAATGTGGAAGTCCGTTATTCTCACCGCCAGCAAACAGAGGGAGCCATCTGGTCCTATGTGGGAAATTTCCACAGGCACACGGTCTTCTATTTGGCAATGTTCTATAGTCCCTGGAGGCTTTTTTTTTTTTTTTTTTAAGATTTTATTTATTTGACAGAGCACAAACAGGGAGGGGGGCAGAGGCAGAGGGAGAAGCAGACTCCCTGCTGAGCAGGGAGCCCAGTGTGAGTTTTGATTCCAGAACCCAGTGATCATGACCTGAGCTGAACAAAAGTAGATGCTTAACTGACGGAGCCACCCAGGTGCTGAGGTCTTTTTTTTTTTTTTTTTTTTAGTTTTTTATTGTGGTAAAATACATATAACAGTTACCGTCTTAACCATTTGTAGGGGTCAGTTCAGGGACATTACGTAGCCTCATCATTGTGCGAACTTTGCCTCCGTCCATCCCACAGCTCTTCTCATCTTGCAAAAAAGCTCTCTACCCATTACACCCTGACACCCTCCTCCTCTCCCTCCACCCCGCTCCTGCCTCCCTCCGACGTTCTGTCCCGGTGGCTTTGACTTCCACGGGTACCTCACAGAGTGGAGCCGTACAGTATTTGTGTCTGTGTGACTGGCTTACTTCGCTCGACCCAAGGTTCTCAAGGCTCATCCACATGGTCGCTTGTGTTGGAATTTCCTTTCTTCTTCAGTCTGAGTAGCAGTCCACTGTATGGACGTGCCACATTTTGTTCGTCCGTCTGTCAGTGGACACTTGGGTGGCTTCTGCATTTTGGCTCTCATGAGCCATGTTAGGAACATGGTTGTACAGAGGTCTCTTCGATTTCTTTTGGCTGTATACCCAGAAGTGGAGTTGTTGGATCAGCCGGTAATTCTGTTTTGAGGTTTTTGAGGAAGTGCCACCCTGTTTCCCACAGCCATGCACAAGGGTTCCAGATTGTCCACATCCTGGCCAACACTTGTTATTCTCTGTTCATTTGATAGTAACCATCCTAACAGATATGGGGTTGTATCTCACTGTGGTTTGGATCCTGGAGCCTTCTTAAACCTTTTTATATTGTTATAATTTTTATATGATTATAAAAGAAACACAGATAATTTCATCTGTAAACTATGAAAAATATGCTAAAATCATCTCAGAAATATTGTCAACATTTGAGGTCAGCTAGACTTTCTTGCTCTCACATGCAGGTGTGTGCTCTTTTTTTTTAATATAGCAAAGGTCAAAGAATTGTATGTACAGAATCTTACTTTTTCTTTTACTATTTTTATTAACATATAATGTATTATTTGCCCCAGGGGTACAGGTCTGTGAATTGTCAGGCTTAAACATTTCACAGCACTCACCATAGCACATACCTTCCCCAATGCCCATAACCCAACCACCCTCTCCGTACCTCCCTCCCCACAGCAACCTTCAGTTTGTTTTGTGAGATTTAGAGTCTCTTATGGTTTGTCTCCCTCCCAATCCCATCTTGTTTCATTTTTTCCTTCCCTACCACCAAGCCCCCCACTTTGCCTCTCAAATTCCTTGTATCAGGGAGATCATATGATAATTGTCTTTCTCTGATTGACTTACTTTGCTCAGCATAATACCCTCTAGTTCCATTCACGTCATTGCAAATGGCAAGATTTTATTTCTTTTGATGGCTGCATAGTATTCCATTGTGTATATATACCACATCTTCTTTATCCATTCATCTGTTGATGGACATCTAGGCTCTTTCCATAGTCTGGCTATTATGGACATTGCTGCTATAAGCATTCGGGTGCACATGCCCCTTCGGATTGTTACATTTGTATCTTTACTGGTAAATACCCAGTAGTGGGATTGCTGGATCGTAGGGTAGCTCTATTCTCAACTTTTTGAGGAATCTTCATACTGTTTTCCAGAGTGGCTGCACCAGCTCCCATTCCCACCAACAGTGTAGGAGGGTTCCCCTTTCTCCATATCCTCTCCAACATCTGTCGTTTCCTGACTAATTTTAGCCATTCTGATTGGTGTGAGGTGGTATCTCACTGTGGTTTCAATTTGTATGTCCATGATGCCGAGTGATTTTGAGCACTTTTTCATGTGTCTGTTGGCCATCTGGATGTCTTCTTTGCAGAAATGTCTGTTCATGTTCTCTGCCCATTTCTTGATTGGATTATTTGTTCTTTGGGTGTTGAGTTTGCTGAGCCCTTTATAGATTTTGGATACTAGCCCTTTATCTGATATATTGTTTGCAAATATCTTCTCCCATTTTGTTGGTTGTCTTTTGGTTTTGTTGACTGTTTCCTTTGCTGTGCAAAAGGTTTTGATCTTGATGATGTCCCAATAGTTCATTTTTGCCCTTGCTTCTCTTGCCTTTGGCAATGTTTCTAGGAAGAAGTTGCTGCGGCTGAGGTCGAAGAGGTTACTGTCTGTGTTCTCTTCAAGGATTTTGATGTATTCCTGTCTCACATTGAGGTCTTTCATCTATTCTGAGTCTATCTTTGTGTGTGGTGTAAGGAAAGTTTCATTCTTCTGCATGTGGATGTCCAATTTTCCCAACACTATTTGTTGAAGAGACAACATTCTTTTTTCCATTGGACATTTTTTCCTGCCTTTTTCTTTTCTTTTTTTCCCTTGGACATTCTTTCCTGCTTTGTTGAAGATTAGTTGACCATAGAGTTGAAGATCTATTTCTGGGCTCTCTATTCTGTTCCACTGATCTATGTGTCTGTTTTTGTGCCAGTACCATACTGTCTTGATGATGACAGCTTTGTAATAGAGTTTGAAGTCTGGAATTGTGATGCCACCAATTTTGGCTTTCTTTTTCAACATTATTCTGCCTATATGGGGTCTTTTCTAGTACCAAATAAATTTTAAGATTATTTGTTCGATTTCTTGGAAAAAAATTGATGGTATTTTGATAGGGATTGCATTAAATGTGTAGATTGTTTTAGGTAGCATACACATTTTCACAATATTTGTTCTTCCAATCCATGAGAATGGAACATTTTCCTATTTCTTTGTGTCTTCCTCAATTTCTTTCTTTATAGAAAGTACTTTATAGCTTTCTGAGTACAGATTCTTTGCCTCTTTGGTTAGGTTTATTCCTAGGTATCTTACGGTTTTGGGTGCAATTGTAAATGGGATTGACTCCTTAATTTCTCTTTCTTCTGTATTGCTGTTGGTGTATAGTAATGTAACTGATTTCTGTGCATTGATTTTATATCCTGACACTTTACTGAATTCCTGTATGAGTTCTAGCAGTTTTGGAGTGGAGTCTTCTGGGTTTTCCACATATAGTATCATATCATCTGCAAAGAGTGATAGTTTGATTTCTTCTTTGCTGATTTGGATGCCTTTAATTTCTTTTTGTTGTTTGAGTGCTGAGGCTAGGATTTCCAGTACTATGTTGAATAGCAGTGGTGATAGTGGACATCCATACCATGTTCCTGACCTTAGGGGAAAATCTCTCAGTTTTTCCCCGTTGAAAATGATACTTGCTGTGGGTTTTCATAGATGGCTTTGATGATATTGATCGCTATCCCTACACTTTGAAGAGTTTTGATCAAGAAAGGATGCTGCACTTTGTCAAACACTTTTTTAGCATCTATTGAGAGTATCATATGGCTCTTGTTCTTTCTTTTATTCTTGTATCACATTGATTGATTTGCGGATGTTGAACCAACCTTGCAGCCCAGGAATAAATCCCACTTGGTCATGGTGAATAATCCTTTTAATGTACTGTTGGATCCTATTGGCTAGTATTTTGGTGAGAATTTTCACATCTGTGTTCATCAAGGATATTAGTCTGTAATTCTCTTTTTTGATGGGATCCTTGTCTGGTTTTGGGATCAAGGTGATGCTGGCCTCATAAAATGAGTTTGGAAGTTTTCCTTCCATTTGTATTTTTTGGAACAGTTACACGAGAATAGGTATTAATTCTTCTTCAAATGTTTGGTAGAATTCCCCTGGGAAGCCGTCTGGCTCTGGGCTCTTGGGAGATTTTTGATGACTGCTTCAATCTCTTACTGGTTATAGGTATGTTCAGGTTTTCTATTTCATCTGGCTCAGTTTTGGTAGTTTATATATCTCTAGGAATGCATCCATTTCTTCCAGATTTTCAAATTTGCTGGTGTATAGTTGCTCATAAATGTTCTTATAATTGTTTGTATTTCTTTGGTATTGGTTGTGATTTCTCTTCTTTCATTCATGAGTTTATTTATTTGGGTCCTTTCTCTTTTCTTTTTGATAAGTCTAGCCACGGGTTGATCAATCTTATTAATTCTTTTGAAGAACCAGCTCCTAGTTTCATTGATCTGTTCTACTGTTCTTTTGGTTTCTATTTCTTTGATTTCTGCTCTGATCTTTATTATTTCTCTTCTCCTGCTGGGTTTAGGCTTTCGTTGCTGTTCTCTCTCGAGCTCCTTTAGGTGTAGGGTCAGTTTGTATACTGGAGACCTTTCTTGTTTCTTGAGAAAGGCTTGTATTGCTATATACTTTCCTCTCAGGGCCACCTTTGCTGTGTCCCACAGATTTTCAACATTTGTGTTTTCATTTTCATGTGTTTCCATGAATTTTTTCAATTCTTTAATTTCCTTGTTGACCCATTCATTCTTTAGTGGGATGCTCATTAGCCTCCATGATTTGAGTTCTTTCCAACTTTCCTCTTGTGATTGAGTTCTAGCTTCAGAGCATTGTGGTCTGAAAATACGCAGGGAATGATCCCAATCTTTTGTTACCAGTTGAGACCCTATTTGTGACCCAGGATGTGATCTTTTCTGGAGAATGTTCCATGTGCACTAGAGAAGAATTTGTATTCTGTTGCTTTGGGATGGAATGTTCTGAATATATTTGTGATGTCCATCTGGTCCAGTGTGTCATTTAAGGCCTTTATTTCCTTTTTGATCTTTTGCTTGGATGAAATGTCCATTTCAGTGAGGGGGGTGTTAAAGTACCCTACTATTATTGTATTATTGTCGATGTGTTTCTTTGATTTTGTTGTTAGTTGGTTTATATAGTTGGCTGCTCACATGTTAGGGGCATAGATATTTAAAATTGTTAGATCTTCTTGTTGGACAGACCCTTTAAGTATGATATTGTCTCCTTCCTCATCTCTTATTAAAGTCTTTGGTTTAAAATCTAATTTATCTGATATAAGGATTGCCACCCCAGCTTTCTTTTGATGTCCATTAGCATGGGAAATTGTTTTCCACCACCTCACTTTAAGTCGGGAGGTGTCTTTGGGTCTAAAATGAGTTTCTTGTAGACAGCATATTGATGGATTTTGTTTTTTTAAATCCATTCTGATACTCTGTGTCTTTTGATTGGGGCATTTAGCCCATTTACATTCAGGATAACTACTGAAAGATATTAATTTAGTGCCATTATATTGCCTGTACAGTGACTGTTACTCTATATTGTCTCTGTTCCTTTCTTGTCTACTACTTTTAGGCTCTCTCTTTGTTTAGAGGACCCCTTTCAATATTTCCTATAGGGCTGGTTTGGTGTTTGCAAATTCTTTTAATTTTTGTTTGTCCTGGAAGCTTTTTATCTCTCCTTCTATTTTCAATGATAGCCTAGCTGGATATAATACTCTTGGCTTCATATTTTTCTCATTTAGTGCTCTGAATGTATCATGCCAGTTCTTTCTGGCCTGCCAGGTCTCTGTGGATAAGTCTGCTGCCAATCTAATATTTCTACCACTGTATGTTAACAGACCTCTTCTCCTGAGCCGCTCTCAGGATTTTCTCTTTGTTTTATTATTAGATGATGGGGTGTGGACCTATTTTTATTGATTTTGAGGAGGGTTCTCTGTGCCTCCTAGATTTTGATGCTTAATCCCTTTGCCATATTAGGGAAATTCTCTATAATAATTCTCTCCAATATACCTTCTGCCCCTATCTCTCTTTCTTCTTCTTCTGGAATCCCAATTATTCTAATATTGTTTCATCTTATGGTATCACTTACATCTTGAATTCTCCCTTCATGGTCCAGTAGCTGTTTGTCTCATTCTGCTCAGCTTCTTTATTCTCTGCATTTGGTCTTCTATATCACCAATTCTCTCTTCTGCCTCTTTTATCCTAGCAGTAAGAGCCTCCATTTTTTAATTGCACCTCATTAATAGTTTTTTTTGTTTGTTTGTTTCAAATGGGTTAGATTTTAGTTCTTTTATTTCTCCAGAAAGGGTTCCTCTAATAATTTTACCCTTTTTCATTCAGTCTCTTATCATGAGTAGTTTTCCACTCTTTTAAAATTCGATACCATTCAGTTGTATAGTACACATACTTTTCCTTTTTTATTTAAATTCCAATTAACATATAGTATATTATTAGTTTCAGGAATAGAATTTAGTGGGTCATCACTTACATCCAATACCCAGTACTCATCACAAGTGCCCTCCTTAATGCCCATCACCCATCCAGCCCACTCCCCCGCCAACTCCCTCCTACCCACCTCCTTCCAGCAAACTGAGGTTTGTTCTCTGTAGTTAAAAGACTATTTCATGGCTTGCCTCTCTCCCCCTGCCCATGTTCATTTGTTTTGTTTCTTAAATTCCACATGAGTGCAATCATATGGTATTTCTTTCTCTGACTTATTTCATCTAGCATTATACTCATTAGCTCCATCCACATTGATGCAAATGACTAAGTTTCATTCTTTCTGATGGCTGAGTAATAGTCCTCTGTGTGTGTGTGTGTGTGTGTGTGTGTGTACGTGTAAACACCACATCTTCTTTATCCATTCTTCATTTGATGGACATTTGGGCTCTCTCCATAGTTTGGCCATTGTTGATAATGCTGCTGTAAACATCGGGACACATGTACCCCTTTGAATCAGTTTTTTGTATCCTTTGGATAAAAACCTAGTAGTGCAACTGCTGGATCAGAGGGTAGTTCTACTTCTAACTTTTTTTTTTTAAGATTTTATTTATTTAAAAAATATATTTTATTTATTTGACAGAGCACAAGCAGGGGGAGTGTTAGGCAAAGGGAGAGGGAGAAGCAGGCCTCCTGCAGAGCAGGGAGAGCCTGATATGGCCCTTGATCCCAGGATCCTGGGGTCATGACCTGAGACAAATGCAGTGGCTTAACCAACTGAGCCACCCAGGCGCCCCTATTTTTAACTTTTTGAGGAACCTCCACCCTGTTCTCCACAGTGGCTGCACCAGCCTGCATTGCCACCAAGAGTTCAAGAGGGTTCCCCTTTCCCCACATCCTCCTCAAATACACATGCTTTTTATGCAAAACACTGAGAACTTATTGCAGGGCTCTAGTGTCTCCAGTCTCCTGTTTCCCGGGAGGGATGGTAGGTATGATGGCGGGTGGCTGATGCAGTGACAGCCTGTTGCCTAGGCAGCCCCAGGTCTGCTGCGTGTGGGCCTGGCGCACTGTGCTCTCAGCCTAATAACGACGGCTGTCCCTTGCTGTAGACCAGGCGCTCTTCTGAGTGCTTTGCATACAGTCACTAACTTAATCCCCACAACAGCTCTAGGAGGAAATGTTCTTATGAGCCCCATTTTACAGATGTAGGAGACAAAGTTCCAAGAGATAATGTAATTCACATAATCTTAAATCCAGATAAAATCCAGTTAAAATGGGAGCCCAGCATCCTGCCTCGCAGAACCTTGCAGGTTATCTGCACTGGGGAGGGAGGGCATGGGGCTTCATCACTGCAGTTCCCCGCCTGGACCCCCAGACCACAACAGCCCACTAGCATGCTGGAGCAGGGGCCTCTTCACCTAAAAGCAGCATTGGTAGTGAGGGTTCTGAGGGTGCTTCCTGATCTTTGCTTCTTGGAAGACCGACCCTGTCCTCACGAATGTCTTGGACCCCTGCAGAGGATCAGATGGATGCTGGCGGTCAGCACCCCTACAAGCTCCCTTTTAGGCTGCCACCAAACCGTATCCTCTGTGGGGGCATTTCTGGGACAGTCGTGTGCTCAGGCCCTTTGATGGCTCTCTGAAAGCCCACAGGAATCTTAGTCTTCTAATTGGGCAACTACCTGATGGGCTTCTGTTCCCAAGGCTTCTGCTTCTCTTATCCCTACATTTCCCCTCACATTTGAAACCTAGAGCAGCTTCAATAAGGGTCTTCTGTGGGAATCTTCTCCAGCCCAGAGCTCCCGAGACAGAGCAAAGACCTCTGCCTGGGACTATATAGCAAGTGTGGCCACGGACAGAAAGTCAGGGGTGTGCACGAGCTCATGTTCACGGTCTTGCCTCTTCCCTCAGGATGTGGGGCAACAGAATCGGTGATGAAGGAGCAAAGGCCTTTGCGGAGGCTCTGAGGAACCACCCCAGCCTGACCAACCTGAGGTAACTCCTGCTTTCTGAGACCCGCTGGCCCCAGGGTCCAACCTGGGCAGTCCGCGTGCCTCCTGCTTTGGCAGCAGGAGGAGCCAAGGGGAGGAAGATGGTTGGCTTTCTGAATGAAGAAGGTATTTGTGTCTGATTTTTCTTCTGTAAACAGTTCTGTGGACATGTAAGAGGTGTAGCACATTACTGTTCAGCTCAGCCACTTGTCATGTGTGCACAGCAATGTAACTGCCACCCGGATTGAGACCGAGGACTTTGCCAGCCCCTCAGTGGTCTCTCCAGGCTCCTTGGTGGTGGGGAAGTGGGGAGGCATTCTCAAGTCCACATAACCTTCCTCATTCCCAGGATGATGCTGAGACAGAGGGAAACCTTCATCTCTGTGAAGACCTACTCCTCCCTGGCTTACTTTCAGTCCTCTGCCCAAGTCTCAGAACCTCGGGTGTCTCCCTATTGCCCGGGTTCTTCTTAACACCGAGAAAGAAATCCCAGATAGTGGGGGCAATAGCAGTTTCTTCTTCACGAGAACAGAGGACGCTTCTCTAGGTCTCACTCATGGGAAGAAGGGTCAGCCGCCTAAAGCAGAGCCCTCCCAGCCCCTGCTGTGCTTGGAACCCACTGGTTCCACTTCCTGTCTGACCTCTCCTTGAGTGGTCTTGTGGCAATCCTCATGCTCACAGTGTGGGCTCTGAAGCAACAAAGCTGAGGCCACTGCTGGCCATGCTGAGCACTTCTGCTTCCTTCATGGGCAGGGGCCACCTCCAGGCAGCATCTTCCACGTGTTTCTGTTGCTGAAGCCAAAGCCAAATGTAGACATGTCTCTAATGATTGACCCCACATGTTTTCCTTCCTAGTCTTGCATTCAACGGCATCTCCAGAGAAGGAGGAAAGAGCCTCGCACAGGCCCTTGAGCAGAACACCTCTCTGAGAATATTCTGGTAATAACCAGAGTCCTCTTGAAAGGTTGGGTCTCAGGGATTATTCCAAAGCCTGGAATCTTAACTGAAAAGGTGCCTTTTAATTAAAAAGTTTCTAGGTCTTTCCTCAGTGTTGCGTCAATAATTTAATTTCCTCCTAGAAGAAAAAAAAACCATTCCTTGCAGCACAGACAAGTACAGAGGGGGAAGCGGGCCCCAGGAGCATGGGTTTGACCTTAGCCTTCTTTGCCAACCTAGACCTCAGGAAAACCCGAAGCCTGGTCATTCTGGCAGGATGATCCTCAGAGCACGTTCAGACAGCATTTGCAGAGTCCAGCTTTGATGCACTTGGCTCGGACTCGTCTCCCTTCCTCCCCATGCAGCCCCGTCACAGTCTGGCCCTTCATGGTCCAGCTCACCAGTCACCAGAAGCCCACATTCCTCACTCCCTCTCTGTCCTCCAGGGGTAATAATTTAGAATATGTTGCCTTCTGACAGGTCTTTTTAAATTTTGTCTTTGTCTTTCCTTTTGTCATTTACTCTTTTATTTATTTGAACTTTTATTTACTTGCCAGTATCATAAATTCCTTATGGGTGAGGGAATTGTATTAGGGCTCAGGGCACCTGAGGTAATCAGCTGAGTTCATTAATATTGACAATATCCTCATTTTGAGAGTTCTACTAGACCTGCTGGCCAGTAAATACATTTTCAGTTCTTTTCCTCTAGAAATAAAACCTTTAAAAAATACTTTGAAATATTTTTAAAAACACTGCAAGGAAGTCAAAAAGTAGGAAGTGAAAAGAACTACCTCCCTCGTGTTTTCCAGATAGAACCTTTTCCTTCTAGCATTTGAATGAATATTCATATACATATACATATATATATATATTTTTTTTTTTTCTTACAAAATAGAATAGTATTGAGCAAGTGGCTTTTACAAAATATCTTACGGGGCATCTGGGTGGCTCAGTCAGTTAAGCCCAACTCTTGATTTTGGCTCAGGTCATGATCCCAGGATTGTGAGATCAAACCCTGTGTGAGGCTCCACATTTAGTGCGGAGTCTGCTCGTGACTCTCTCCCTCCTCTGCCCCTCCCCCCGTGCGTGTGATCTCTCTCTGTCTCAAATAAATAAATCTTTAAAAAAAATCTTAACGATGTATTGTCCGCATTTTACATGTCCTTTCTCGTCAGGATCTCTCCGTCTCAACACTGCTGACATTTTGGTCCAAATCCCTCTTGTGAGGGGGCTGTCCTGTTCATTACAGGATGTTTAGCAGAATCCTGGGCACCCACCCTTTAGATACCTGCAGTAGCCTCCAACTGTGGTGATCAAAAATGTCTCCAGATGTTGACAAATGTCCCCTAGACAAAAGTACCCTGTTGAGAACCACTGCTCTGCGTGGACAGTAGTAATGTTAGAACCAAGCATCTCTGGAGTGCTGAAGTACTGACTGCATGCCATGCATTCTTCTCACCCTTTTATTATTTGTTTGCTTGTTTGTTTTTTGAGAGAGAGAGGGGGGTAGAGAGAGTGTGTGAGTTGGGGGGCAGAGGAGGAGAGAGAGAGAGAATCTTAAGCAGGGTCCACGTTCAGTGCACAGCCCGACGCGGGGCTCAACGTCATAACCCTGAGATCGTGACCTGAGCCAAAATCGACAGTCAGACGCTTAACCAACTGAGCCACCCAGGCACCCCCATTCTCAGCCTCTTATATGTGTTCCCTCACCCTCACAGCCCCCCCATAATGTCTATACTGTGACTGTTCACCCTTATTTCTCTGGTGAGAAAACTCTGGTGCAAAGAAGTTCAACCACTAGCCCAAGGTTGTCCTGCTAGCGTGTGACACACATGGGACATGTCTGGCTCCAGAGGACTCAAATATTTTCTTCTGCCTCATTCTCTCTACCTCATTCCCTCTAAAGGCTGCGTGACATCCCACTGAATGGATGTTTGCCACTTAGCTGCCCAGCGGCCTTGGCTGATGCTGACTGGCGCTCACACTTCACGTTCCGACCAATCCCGCTGTGGGCGACACTGCGTGCACAGGTCCTCGTGTGCACCTCTTTGCACACTGCAGGGTCAGTGTCCAGAAGTGCCACTGTGGGCTCAAAGTATAACACACTTAAAATTCAGATAGACGCGGCCAAATTGCCCTTTGAGGGGTGATTTTTTTTAAAGTTCTGTTTCATTCTTCTTTAGTTATTCTTCCATCCGCTGGCACAACAGGGTCTAATCCCATTTACATCCGGGAGCTTCTAGTCCTCCGTGCTTTGTCCAGACCACTTCTGGTTTTAAGAAGAGCTGAGAGACCTCCTGAACTTTGAGTTCCTGAATTTGGGTCCTTCTCAGCGGGTGTCAGAACAGAGCATTGAGCACCTTTTAACGTGTAGATAACAGGCTTTTCTGAGTTTTCCTATGACTTGCTTTGGGAACAGGCTCTCAGTGGTGTCTGGGGCTGGAAGAAGCCTGGGAAGCAGGCACTGAACCCCGTCTTCTGCAGGATCTGAGGCCCCAGCAAAGATGGGGAGGGAACATGTGTTCCGTAGAGCAGCAGAGCGAAGAAGTAGGAGCTTGGGTACAGGATTTGCACAAGAAATGAATCCCCCTTTATTGTCTATGGGGCTCAGAGGCTGGGATTGGGACCTGGCTGTGTGTTCAGTTCAGCAAGTGATGAGCAGCCTAAGCTGGAGAGATCTGGGCTGGGATCCCACTTCTGAGAACTCATTTTACAAATGTGTGCCAGATAGGGCTCTCCTGAGTAAATGCTTCTTTCTTTTCTAGGCTCACCAAAAATGAATTGGATGACGAAGTGGCAGAGAGCCTGGCAGAGATGTTGAAAGTCAACCAGACGTTGAAACATTTATGGTAACTCAGCAAACCTCAGAATTTCAGGCTGTGCTACTTTTAGAGCCTGTTTTTTGAGAGGAGGCGCCTGGCTAGCACAGTCAGTAAAGGATGAGACTGCTGTCTTGGGGTTGTGAGTTCAGGCCCCGTGTTAGGTGTAGAGCTTATTTATAAAATCTTAAAAAAAAATACAGGTCAGTGTTTTTTGGTGTACTCACAGGTTGCGTAACCAACATGAAGATCTAATTATAGGACAGTTTTGCCCCAAGATGGAGTACACCCCCATTCATTAAGCATCACCTCCCTGTCCTTGACTGGACTGTCCTTGACAAGGACTGGAGAATTTGCCTATTCTAGGCATTTCACGGAAATGGAGTCCTACATGTGACTTTTTGTCTGCCTTCCTTCACTGGCATGAGTTTTCAAGATTCGTGGACATTCTAGCATGTGTCAGAACCTCATGGCTCTGTGTGGCCAATATTCCTCTGTGTGGATCATCCACAATCTGTCCATTCATCGGTTGGTAGGCATTGGGGTTGTTTCTACTTTTTGACTGTTGTGAATGTGTGTGGACATGTGTTTTCATTTCTCCTGGGTATACACTTAGGAGTAGAATTGCTGGGTCATGTGGCCACTCTGTTGTTAACTTTTTTTTTTTTTTAAGATTTTATTTATTTATTAGAGAGCACGAGCAGAAGGGAGAGGGGGAGGGGGAAGGAGGCTCCCCACTGAGCACGGAGCCCAGTGTAGGACTTGATCCCAGGACCCTGAGATCATGACCTGAGCCAAAAGCAGAGGCTTAACTGACTGAGCCAACCCAGGTGCCCCTCTAGGTGACTTTCTGAGGAGCCACCAAAATATTTTCTGAAGTGGCTGCTTTACTCTACCTTCTCACCAGCAATGTGGGAAGGCTCCCAGTTCTCACATCCTCACCAACAACACTGGTTGTTGTCCATCTTTTTGAATCTTGTCACTCTGGTGGGTGGGAAGTGTTATCTCATTGTAGTTTTGATCTGCATTTCCCTGCTGACTAACACTGGGCATCCTTTCATGGGCTTGTTGGCCTTTGTGTATCTTTGAAGAAATGTCTCTACATCCTACCCCCAAATTTAATTTAAATGTTAATAAATTTAATTTATTTGCCTTTTTATTGGTGAGTTGTTAGAGTTCTTTATATATTCAGGGTACTAGACACTAGGTGGACAGTCTGTAACTATTTCCTCTGTGGGGTTTTTAACTTTCTTGTTAGTGATCTTTGAAGCACAAAAGTGTTTAATTTTGATGGAAGTCCAGTTTTTTTCTTTCTTTGGTGGTTTGTGCTTTAGGTGTCTTGCTAAGAAACTGTTGTGTAATCCAAGTCACAAAGATTTACGCCCAAGTTTTCCTTTAAGTGTTAGAGTTTGACTCTTGCATTGAGGTCTGTGATCCTAAATGCTAATTTCTGGAGTTAATTATTGTGTGTGGTCTGAGGCATGGGGCCCAAATTCATTCTTTGGCATGTGGCTATCCAGCTGTCCCAGCACCTCCTGTTGAAAAGACTATCTTATCCTTTTAGATGGCTCTGACGCTTTTGCCAAAAATCAATTGACTGTAAACGTATGGGTGTATTTCTGGACTTTCTTTTCTAGTTCATTGATCTGTTTATCCTTACATCAGGATCACACTGTCCTGATTATTCTAACTCTGTAGTATGTTTTGAAATCAGGCAGTGTGAGTCTTCCAACTATGTTCTTCTTTCTCAAGACCGTTTGGGCTCTTCTGGTTCCCTTGTATTTCCATATGAATTTCAGCTCACCTTGTCAGTCTTTGTAAAGCATCCAGTCTATGCTTTTACATCTGTTTTGTTGTTGTTGTTTTTCTGGCCTGTAGACTTTCTTCTCTCCTGCTCCTGGTGCCAGGCCAGCCCCTACAGGGAGCTCCAAGCTGGACTGAGGCTAGAGAGCAAGTATCGGTGGCTTAATGGGTGCGCAGACCACACTGGCCCTTGTGAAGAAGGCCCCGGGGAGCATGTGGCCCTGAGTGCTGCCACACTTTTTGGCTCTCTCACTACCTGGTGTCTTGCCAGCTCTTGGCTGGAGGGAGCTCTCCCAGCAAAGTGGAGGTGATGAAGAAGCAGCAATTTAACCCAATGCATGGTTCTGGGTCCACTTCCAGGTTCTGTCTTTGCTCCTTTTGCCAAAATGTCCAAGTTGTGGTCGTCCTTACCAGTTCTGCCACTGAGCCCAGGGGTCCCACTTTGGGAGATGTGATTGGGAGACTGGGACATGGTCCGATGAGCTGGGGCAGCGATGGTGACGAGCGCGCCCGGCCCCTGGACACCAGAGCAGAAACTGTGAGAACTTCCTTCATACACATCCTCCCACTGAGACCTCACACCCAGGGGAGGGGGCATTCTCTTGCTCCCATTTTACAGATCAGGCCACTGAGGCATAGAAAAGTGTGAGCTTATTTCTTCAAGCCTCTGTGGCTGAGAAGTGGGGAGTGTGTGTGTGTGTGTGTGTGTGTGTGTGTGTGTGTGTGTGTGTAGGAGGGGAGCTTTGAATGCTGTGCTGTCCTGCCTCTTCAGGGGGTTGGCCCCTTCTTGCTTAATTTCTATAATCCCATCAATCATGAAGATGAAGCCCTCATCTTGGTAGGGCTGCCTTCTTGGGTCAGGGCCCAGGATTTCTTAGGGTCAAGTTCAGTAGTGGCCTTATTCTACAAAAAGCCAAAGGAGTAGGTCTGTGATGAAGCACAGACACATCGGTGCCTTGTGCGGCGTGAAGCTCTCGGTTGGGTTGGAAGCCCAGCTGTCCGGGGGAGCACTGAGAAATTGTCCAGGCTCCTGGCTGCATCAGAAGCCTTTGTTTCATTTGGATCACTGCTACTGACCTAAAGGGTACACTCCTTGAAGCCCCATTATTGATGCTTTCCTACTGGGACCCATGAGCAGCGGCAGGAGAATCTCTCTCTTCCCTACCTCCCCGCCGGAGGACCTCACCACGGAGAGGACATGGTGCATTCTTAGAAGCCTTTGTTTCCCCAAAGTGGTGAACGGCCGTTTGTCAGCTACTAAACTTTAAAAACTGCCTTGCCTTCCCCAGCCAGCTGGAAAGCCACCAGACTGTCTCTCCCCTGGGTGTTTCTTAGAATTTGTTGTTCAGATTGCTAGCCGCCAAACATTTTTGACTGGGCACCCCTGCTGCGAGAAATGCCAACACACACATAAATGTATTCATGTATTAAATAATCTATGTATGAATACACAGATATGCGCACTCTAAAAATATACCAAAAAATTGAACATTTTAAAAGATGTCCTTTATTCTGGTAAGTCTGATCAAGATAGTCTTAGCCAGTTTAAAAGACACAGGGACACAGTTCTTCCCCTGACCCTGCCTCATTTCCACCACACTCTTACAACTCCCTAATGGAGGGGGCAGTGTTATTCCAGTATTAAGTATCTACTACAAGATACATTCTTCTTTCAGGCTTATCCAGAACCAGATCACAGCCAAGGGGATTGCCCAGCTGGCAGATGCCTTACAGAGGAACACTGGCATCCTGGAGATCTGGTAAGACTATCTGCCGCCGGTCCTCACAATGGTAACAGTGCTTACTGACTCAGCACCACCGACTGGGTGCCCGGCACAATGGGGAGCCCTTTGCAATTACCCCTCATCGTTCCCATTATCTAGTAAAGTAGCTGGTATTATTTCCACCTCACAGATGTAGAAACTGAGGCCCAGTGACGTAAAACTTGCCCAAGGTGCCACCTAAGAGGAAAAGCTGGATCTGGTCCAGATTGCCTGACTCTGTGGTCACCGTGCTCCACCCAGGCCCCCGTCCTCCTCTACCTTCCTGAGGTCGCATGGGGCAAACAGGCCCAGAAAGGGATCCCCGCTGGAAGTGAATCACTCAGGGACTCGGGAGGCTGAGAGACGAATGTGCTAGCTGGAGTTTGGGGCCCATTCCTCTCCTCTTCAGGGCTTCCTGGCCTTGAGGAAATACTTCCGTGCTGGATTTGAGCTGACTTATGCTCTCCTTCAACCTCCCGTTTCTGTTTGGAGGAGTTATTTATGGGGCTATGGGACGGAGCCGAATTATTTGCTTTCTACAATACTGAGCCCTGTTTCACTCCGTTATTGCCTCACAAGACACATTCCCCCACCCCCACCCCCCACACATTTGAGGCATTTGGGTCTGGGCCTGTAGAATGTGCCAGGCCATAAGCGGGGTTGGGGGAGTTCCCATTAGTAACGGTTGCAGCCATGGTTTGGGTGCTGGGGAAATGGCAGTTAGCTGGACTGAAAGAACCCTGATTGCTTAAGAGTCTGGGCTTCCAGGAGCTGAGAGAAGGGGGCCGAACTCCTAAGTATTCTGGAATTTGTCCTGCACCTCGGGGTGGGGGAGGTGGGGGAGAGCACAGCCCTGCAGAGCCAGGTGTGGAGGACCCAGCAGGGGGCATAGCCAGACCTCCCTTGCGGACACAGATGGGGAGAAGAGTTCCCACTCTCATTGTGGCTTCTGTGAGATCGAAGGAGCAGCCTGAGAACTCAAATCCTCGGCTCAGAGGGCAGTTACTCATTAACGACTTTACTTCTTCATGACGGGGGAGAATTTCCCAGCCAAAAAAAGTATATCGGGGTATAGCCCCTTAACCGCGACTCTGAGTATAGTGCTTATTAAACTCTGCCTTGGAACTTGTCAGAGGATCATAAAATGAGTTTGGTGGGTTGTGACCAGCATTATCTAAAAAAGTGAACTTGAGCACAGTACAGGAAAGCGCTGTCCACAGTATGAAGTATGATTTTATACTTGTTTCAGGTATGTATATGTGTGCATGGACAGATGCTGGTTCACAATGGAAAATATAATTTTTGGTTGGTTCATGGTTGAAAAAAGTGCTTGGAAAACACTGTCCGAGAGAAGGGAGCCTAGCTCCGGCCAGACTGACCAAGGTGCTGTGGTCTGTGCAGCTGCGCCCACTCCTCCATCTGGAAGGCCTGTGACAGCCCCTGGGACTTGAGTTTGTGCTCATCTCCATGTGTGATGTCATGATCTGGGTTCTGCAAAGTCCTGTCCAGGGCCGGGAGTGGGGGGGGAGCCACCCTGTCTGCGGTCATCAGTAGCTCAGTGGCTCGCCGTTTGGACTGACAACTAGTTCTCCCTTGCCCTGGCCCTGAAGAGCTTGCAGCCCCAGCTCCCACCCTGGGTTCTGCTGCTAAGACAGGAGGCTGCGTGTTCTGGGACTTGACATTGTACGGCGTTGAGCACACATGTTGGTCTTGCGAGGTGGTGGACTCCAGACCGTGAGCTCTTTGAGGTGTGGGGCCTAGGTCATGGTGTTAAAAAGACAAGGTTCAACTGAGTGAACTGGAAGGTCTAATTGGTTTTATTAAACAATTCAGGAGTTGGGCAGCATCCCACCTAGCACGTCTGGGGGTGGGGGGGGCGGGGGGAGGGGGGCCGGCGGGGAGCTCTGCTGAGCCAAAGGAGAGAAAGGTTCTTAAAGGCAGAGGGCATGAACAAAGACGAATGCCCTAGCAGGGAATGCATTGTTCTAGCCAAGGCTGCCCCTCTTAAGGGGAGCTGAAGGGGCCTCTCAGTCAATTTCCTGGGATTGACCAGGAAATTCTATGTTGACTGACTAAAGGTTACCGTCTTTCCTCTCAGCTTCTCCCCTGTAGTTCTCAAAGCCTCTGTCGATCTTCGGCATTCTCGGGTCATGATGTTTTGGCTTTATCTCTGTGGCATTCGCAGGTTATGAGTTCAGATTTATATTCCTTTAAGTCGGTTGTCCTCTTCGTACCTTTGTGTTGGTCCAGTCTGGGGACACCGTTTGCTTGGTGGGTAGCAGCTGCAAACAGGCATTTAAAATTTTTGAGAGAAGGTAATGCACCAGGGAGATATGATGATTATGGTAGATAATGTGCCACGTTTGCAGGGTACTTTGAAGCCAGGGTCTCCAATCCAGTCAAAATCAAATAAATCAAAGACCCCATGGAAGGAGTCATCCTTTTAAGACAAGCGGCTTGTTTCGTGAGTTGAACTGAGTTTCCACTTTCCCAGAAGGGTGCATCCGGGCGTAGCAGGTGGTACTGCACCCACCAGGCAGCTCCTTGCTTGATAATCAAGGGCTCTTCTGGTACCGGGAACAACTCTGGACAGAGAGTCTAGGGACCTGTGTGGGCAGTTCTTGCTTTAGTGGCAATTTGGCAAACATTTTAAGAATTAAGGAGAAGTTCCTGATTATAGCCTCATTTATATTTATCCCTGGAAGTAAGGATCTGCCAAAAGGAGAGTCCTGAATCATGAAAGCCTCCCTGTAGTTCCCTTCTAACTCCTGATGTAAATTCACGGGAGTCGGCCAGTGATAAAAGTGCCATTTTTCTCCTAGCCTGAGACAGAAGGTGGCTCTGAATTCCCGAGGTTGCCCCCTGAGCGGTGGCCCAGAAGGGAAAGACAAGGGCATTATCTCGCCAAGCCAATGCCAGAGGGGAGGGAAGGAAAAGGGCAAACGCTCAGTCCCAGGGTGAAGTCTCCGGCCCGCGCCGTGAGCGGAGGCAGTCTGTGGGGGCAGCTGTTTCTCTCCATGGTCGGGGTGATGGTAGCTCTCCAGCGTCTGTCCAGGCCCAGGCCTCGGGTGGAGCCTCCGTCAGCTGTGCCATGGGGTCTCAAGGCTCCGTGTCTCCTAGCTGTGCAGCGGTGTCGGTGGTCAGGAGCATTCCATAAAGTCCCAAAAGCTATTCTCTGGTGATGTTTCCAGAATCCCTAATCAGCACCTCGCTCTAGACTGTGACTAACAGGACCCTTTGAACTGGGATCCCAGATGGTTTCTTGAAGCTGTTCTTAACAGGCTGGAGCGTAAGACAACAAAAGACTCACAGTGGCTGGTCACACTGGCATGAAACAAGGGATCAGCTGAAGGTTGTACACAGAGTTCCAGGAAATCTGCAAGGTTCTTGTTGAGGGAAGAGGGTGCCTCAATCACTGGAGATTATACAAGGTATACCCCACGTGGGAAACACTTTTGTTTTTTAAATTTCCCACTGTAAGGACAACAGTCTTGTGGGATGGAAAGGCTTCAATCCTTCCAGAAAACATGCATGCACTACTGGTGGCCTGGACCAAGAGGCGGTTGAATTCAGTGCCGCTACTGGTGTTCAGAAGGTCCAGAGGAGGTGGTCTGAGACCTCTGGGAACAAAAACAGTTTTTTTCAGGATTGTGGATCTGACCAGTCACACATTGCTGCAAGCCTGTTTTTGCAATTTTAGAGATGTTTCCTCACTAATGTCTATTTATGATTTGAGTCATCTTGAACGTACTGTGATGGGTGCAGGAGGGCAAAAACCAAAAATGGGGTTTGTCAGGGAGTGAGGAAGAATCAAGCAGCTGTCCTGGGTTTCCCACAGCCTGACTGTTAGTTTAATTTCTTGACTCTGGAGCAGACCTTTGCCATGTTATAAGGACATCAGGACGGCAAAAATCTGGCACCGAGGGGCCATTTTCTGTAGAAAGAGAATAGTTAGTCCACATCTTTATAGATTCTACTGCTGCTGCCTTGCACGAAAAGTCACCTTGAGCCCCATATGATCATTTCTTTCCAAAGATTTCTTTTCCACAAACCTTCCAGAACTTTTTTTTTTTTTTACTTTAAAATTTTGTCCTAAGTTTTCCCTTGTTAAATAACTAGTCTCACTTTAGGACAAAATTACTTTTCCATCAAAGATGTATTTCTCTTTTTCATTTTTTTCTTACCAAAAACACACATCCTTCTTTCCTTACATAGTTATTTCTGTTATTTCCAGTAGCCTTAATTACATTAGAACTTTTTTTAAAGTTTTATTAATTTAAGTAATCTCTAAACACAACATGGGGCTCTCCAGCGTATGACCCTGAGAGTAAGAGCTGCATGCTCTTCTGACTAAGCCAGCCTGGTGCCCCGTTATGAGAATTCTTAGCTCTAAAAACCCTTAATTAGTGAACACTAATAAGTAAGCAATTGTGAACTGCTATGCCAGCGTTCTTCAGATTTTCAGATTTATGAGTATGTTTCATAATTTCTAGAAGTATGTGCCTTTTTCAGTTTCCCAAAGTAGCACTCACATATCAAAATATCTTAGTTTCTCTGTAATAAGTAATCAAACACAGATAAACCTGTGTTTGGTTATTGTTTTAGTATTTTAAGAGACAAAGTTTCCTTAAATCTGGAAAAAACAAAACATTTTTTAAGTCAGCGATGTTTTAAACAAAAAGTTATAAAAATTCTCTTCCTTAGTTAATTTAATCACATGTTTTTCTTGTTCTGCTTGAATTTAGTTCTTCCATTCCTTCTGGAAATTCCTACCCAGTTTAGTTTTATGAGCGGAAGATGATCAGAGACCTGTACTGAGAGGTCTTTCCATGAGTCTCACGAAGACAAAATACATTTGCAGGAGACTTTCGTAAAAGCATCTGAGTAAAAAAGAGTTAACTGTATATGATGAAAGTTTTTAAAATGGCCATGGTTAAAGATGTGATTAGAGTTTATTACAATGCAAGTGGCAGGAAATTTGGTTATTTCTGTGACAT